CTTTGTGAACCACACGTGTCACGAGAGTTTCTCTGTCGAACGGGGCAAATCTCACATTCTGAACTGAGCTTGACTTTTGACGACATTCATATGGTTTTCTTGCAAATAATATTGAAGTTGTTGGCCACTACCTTGTTTCATTTTTTTTAAAATTCTCAATCTGGTGTACTCTTTTTAATATTAGGGTAGATTAATAATTATGCTAAACAGAATAGGTATTTAGCCAAAGTGAAGGTCTGTCTTTTGTACAAATATCTGATAGTTATTTAATGCAACAAATAAGATGACTTGCCCCAGTTTGGGCTTGGGGGAGAGAAAGCAGTAGCATGTTCAATGGGACAAACAGAAGATGGGGAAGGGGAAAGTGAAAAGTACCCATATTTCTTTGGAATGCAGTTCTTATGTGAAACTGGCTTTTTGTAGTCCTTGTTTGCTGCAGGGAATTGGGAGTTGATCACAAAAACCTGTTTTCTCTCATTTTGCTTTGAATCATATTTACTAATTACTCAACATTCTTTTTTTTAATTAATCATCACTCTTAAATACTGTGATATAGACTAAAATATACCCAAATGACAGGGATATATCTGCACTGTAAATTTTCAATTTAATTAACAGTCCAATAAATAGATAGTTCTGTTAATTACTGAAACTGAGACAGACCTGGATTGAAAAACTGCATGGCAAAGTGCAAGTGTATCATAGCTGGTTAGACTTTAAAAAACCAAGAATGCAACAATGAATTTAATAGCATATGACCATCAGAAAAATCCTAATCTCACCTAAATTTTTATATCTTCCTACAATCAGGCATAATTATTTTGTCCTAGACAAATGCATTTTTTCCCAGCCACTGCTATGATTTCTGTTGTAGAACCTGATCATTGCAAATATTTGGACAAATGAAGCAGTGCTTGTGTGATAAAAATGGTAAGACAATAATTTCCTTTATCTATCAGTGCAAGTTTGGATAATTCGATTTTCATTCATAGCTTTAAAAAAATATTTGCTGTATTATGGTAGAGGCAACAAGACACACATACACAAAGATCCCATAAGAAAGTGACATTCCATTCTAAGCTATTCTAATGATGCTCAAGCATTTATAGGGAAACCCTTGAAATCTTTGCAACTTGACTGAATCTAAATTCTCATCAACTCTTTCAGACCATTTTCTCCAGGGATTACAAACTTGGGAGAAAAAAACTATTTAAAGTATGCTTTTTCAGAGGGGAAGTGAATTTATACTTCACTGATATTGCTAGCTAATATTCAACCTGAAAATCAGAGAATATTTGGCACTGTTCTAAGACAGGCAACAACTGCAACAGCTTCAATGTCTTTTATCTATGATGGGAAATATTATGCATGCTCTTAGACACACCCAGCAAAGTACAGGTAGGTGCTCTGACTTCTTTGACCCAGGCAATAATTGAAAAAATCAAATCATAGAGTTATTCAAAAGAGAAAGGGAAAGAGGTGAGAGAAAAGATGGGAACCAAATAGCAGCCCACATCTCTTTCTAACTGAGAAGAGCAGTAAATTGTCCTTACTTCAAAGAATGTTCCTGCATGCTCTAGGATCAATTGGCTGGAGTCAGGTTTGTTTTTACAGTAGGTAACATACATCTGAAACTTATCCGCCTGAAAAATTAATATTGAGAGGGAAGGAAAGGCAAGATTAGCAAACATGGTTGGGCTATCTCCCATTTGGCTTCCACTGGAATGTAATAAATCCATCTCTTTTAGATGGAAATATTACGGATTAATTAAAAAATAAAGTATGTATTTAGGTTCAGAATACAGTATGACATATACAGAAGGAATAGACATGATGGAATGTTTTGTGATTTAGCTTTTTAAAAATCTTACCCATTGTACCCACTGACATTCTTTAATGTCTTTTTAAACATCTCTTTTGGCCATGGAAATACAGCTGGTACAACTCATCATCAGAGCTAATTAGATTAATAAATGATATTTCCCAAGAGTCTCTCAATCCAAGTACTGCAGTAACATATGGCTACTGCCCACTTTCAACATTTTGCAATATGTACATCTATATGATAAGGAACTAGAACAGAGGAAAGGTAAAAGATTATAGTTCATTTCAGTGGGTCTCAATGAAGAACAAAATAAATGATGCCATTTTACTCCTTTCAGCAATATATTTCTCTGGCAGACTTCCTGGGTTGGAATGATTCATCTAATATTTTAAGTCACTTATGTATTGCCTTGATCTCAAGAACCCCTGGGAGTAGGAAGATATTATGTGATGAGTTGTAACCTACCATTGGGCAATCAGTGATTTAAATGGATAACTATGATTACTGTTTAAGAAAAAAGCTTAATTCAACAAAGTACAATCCACCCAGATTTGCTCAGGGAATACCATGTGTCTGCTGGGAGAGTAAAAAAAAAGTCAAGATGGCAGCCCCAATGTCTTAATCGTATGCAATGCGCATATAAAAGGGGGCAAGCCTTCAATCACACAGTCACAGCCACCATCCTGACTTTTTTGACTCACTCATGGCTGCTCCTGCAGAATACCTTAACTCTCAAGAGTGTATTTGGATAAGCAGGGTTTTGTAATGAGGACAGGAAAGGGATAATTCAGTCTGCTAGTGTGGTCTGTTACATCAGAGAAAGAGTGAACATAATCTGCCATCTTGGTCTCTTTAAAGGTGTACAAGACCTAAATACAAATGCACATGACATTCAGTAATAAAGAGTAATACATTTAGACTTATTACCCAGGTGACAAAACAGTGACCAACATCTTCAGGGAGTTGTTCGTATTTTTCCAGTTCTTTTAGAAAAATACTGGAAAAAATGAAAACCAAGGTACAAATTAGTCACAATATACTTTGTTTACCAAGGAGCCAAGATGTCAATGGGTAAGCAGCTGTGAACTTAAACTCCCCAATTCCTTTTTAATTCTTCATCTTTTACTCCTTTATTGTTACACACACAGTTACAAACACACACACACACTTAAATATTTTCCTTATCCTTCACCAAACCATCTAATACTTTCAATAACTTTGAATTGTCTCTTAAAATTTATTCAACTGAATGAACTAAAATTCAGATTAATGCATACGGCTGACTGAAGCAAATGGTGGATAATGGGACATTCCTACATATATTTAATTTAAAAACATCCTCTGAATTCACCACGGATTTTGCTTTATGCAAAATGTGGTGGGAGATTAGAGATAAACAAAACTCAGTTCTGTGAATTGTCATTACTTTCTTTCTGAAATTTAATGTTTTCCTTCAAATTTCTATACATCTTTCAGAACATTCTAAATTCACCCAGAAAAGTTTGTGCACTTCTGCTTTAATTACGCCTTTGGTTATATTTCAAATTAGGCGAAAAAGGACAACTGAAGTCAGTCAGCCAGTTTGAAATGGCAATTCCTCATGTAACTGCTGAAATGTTTAACAAACCTCCCCCCCCCCATACTTTTGTGTCTCAAGATCTATGGAAGAGGCAGAGGGGCCCTAATCCTATTGAACCAGATTATCTTTATGGGATCAACATTCTGGCCACAATTTTATGTTTATGTTTATTTCACTACTGCAGGGCCTGCCCCATTCCGAGTGGAATGGAGGCAGGGAACCACAAAGTCAAAGGAAACCATTTTTTTTTAAAAAGAAGTCACCAATATAACAAATATGTATCTCAGGGACCGCTGTTTCTGTCCATCCGATTCAGTCCAGCAGGGTCAATGCACTCTGGATCCTGTCAATTAAATGATGTCATCCAAGAAGTATGTGTAGTCTGCTGCAATTGCAATTGCAGCAGAACATTCCAACAGAATGATCTTCCCCCAGAGATTCATGTAGTTTCCACCCTTACGTTGTTCAGGAAACTACTGAAGACCTGGTTGTTTTCCCTAGCCTTGGGGACAGCATGAACAATCCTCTTTTGTTTTGTTTTGGGTTTTTTCCTTGCTTTGTTTCATTTTGATCTTGTTTTGATTATTTTGCTCTTCCAGCCTGTTGTATCTTTTATAAGTTTTTAAAATATATTTATATTTTTTATATATAGTTATAAGCCGCCCAGAGTTGTGTGGGAGTTGGGCACCTATAGTTATAATTTAATTAAATAAATAAATTTTTAAAAGTGAGCAATCAGTGTCATGGATGCCCTAAAGCTAAACAAACTAAACTAAGGTAGAATATATGCTCGAGTAAGACTCAACTTATTTTTATTTTGTACTGGCTAGAGCTTAGACAGAATAGGATAGGATCCAGTTATTGGGCAGCCTACCTACCATGACAGTTTACCCCCAGATCACCTGAAAGGGGATAGCCGAAGTTCTGGATCCATCACAATGTGTGGCCTTTCAACAGCTACTTCCACCTAATTGTACAGACAGAATGCTAGCTTTAGCTGCACTGGTGCTTCCAGCTGCTGCCTGATATTCTTTATGGAGAACCCCCATTTTGAGAAGAGGGGTGCCATGACTCCACTAAGCTCCATGGAGTCATCAAAAGTATCTAGTCACCTTCAACATTGTACCAGTGACTTAAACAATGAATCAACCTAATAACAACCATCCATAGCCAAGTATTAATGTTGCTATGATGAATATAGAACCGTCATCATTAAAGCCAATTATACTGGATAAAATTCATTTCTAGTCCTATTAACCAGTAATTAATTTTCATCTACAGCAATACCATTTAAGGCAGGTGAGAGGATAGGATGGTACAGCCACCGACAGCAATGGCCAAGACAGAGGCATGGCAACTTCTCCCATATCAACTTCCAGACACATCTCTTATTTGGCAAAGGATGGTTCTAGCTTCCTCTACAGCCAAACAACAAACTATATGTCTTAGTGGGAAGTATAATTATATCTCATAGATACTGTCTCCAATCTGAATAAGATAGAATGTATGTCCCAGAATCAATAGTGCAATTATCTTTTATATAGGAATTGTTCTTTGTATATTCTGTGATGTGAAAGAACAACATTTCTCAAAATACTAAGAAAACATACTTATTATGAAAGTCATATATCTCCTGGATGTTCCCAAATATTATGTGCTCCTTGTTCAGAATCCCCGGAGGTATCTCCTCTACTCCACTTGTCATTTCCCAAAGGTAGGTCTAGAAAACAATGCATATTATATATTTATTTATTTCATAATATTTATACAGTTCTTAAACACAGAAAAGTTATATATAACCAAAAAAATAACTATTTAGTTTTCTTGGTAAAAGAAGAGAATGTCTGAGAAAATCTAAGTTTTCTAAGTTTCGGTATACAAACACAATATATTTTTCAATGACATGAATAATCTGAATACTCCAAAAGGAACTGCAGACCAATATTCTCACTCTCTGTGTATGCTAAGCACAGAAAAATGGGTTCTGTAGTAATTAAGGAATTGGACTAAGATCAGGGAGACTTATAATTAAGTCTACTTTCAGCTGCGGAACTTCTCCAGATGAGTCACCCCAAGGTACATCACAAGGTTGTTATTGGAAAAACTTGAGGAAAGGGGTATTGTATACACAGACTTGACGTCCTTGAGGAAAGGCAGAATATAATAATAAATAATTCAAAACTCTAGTAGTGCACGAAATGTTTCAAATTCAAAGCACCAACTCCAGAACATTTATTTTGTGATCAAAACACTTATTTTGCAATCAGAAAAGTCTGTTCAATCGTTTTGGAAGTGTTACAAGCTGACACAGCTCTGTTTCAAATTTGAAATGATCTGTTTTGGGCTTGTAACACTTCTCAAATAGTCCAAACAGTCCATTTTGAATAAGGAACAACTGCTTTGAATTCAAAATGGGAAATTTCAAACCTGAAATGTTTTACACATCCAACAAAATCCTTTCTCCAATTTGGATGCCACATTTTCTCTTTCATTCACTCACTCAGCTCGACTGTGCGTCTGCAGAACATGCAACATGCCAGCTTGATCACATCATTTGTATTTATATTCCCCATTATTCCACTTATGCAGAGAGTCTGTCATAAGTACCTGTTATGAATGAAGTCTTGTCAGATATTCACAGTAGTGCTGGCTGCTTGACTATTACATATTCTCATGAGGGAGAGAAGCTCTTTGTCACATACAGAGAGTACGATTCCCCAGCCATTCCCTCTGTTAGAGACAGAACATTCTTGCTCCCTTTAAAACTAAGGGCAGAGTTCAAGCAAAAGTGACTGGATCAAGGCTGCGGAAGGGTGGGAGTTTACCATCTCCCCCAAAACCTCTGATTCAAGTTTGAAACACCAAGAAAAGGAAGTTCAGGTAAAAGGAAGCCATCTACACTAAGTTTTTGATCTATGTTTCTGTGTTGTACTAAAGTCTATATGTTCTTTATTTCTCTGTGCAAATTAAGGAATTGTATGTAATTCCAGCATTTATGCATAGTGAAAGCATATCTAAAAAAAAAATCCATGTTTTTCTTCTAGAATATTCTTGGGATCTGTAATATTTAGTACTTTCACCCTGTGATCTGTAATATTCTTGTTGCATTTGGAACAGATCACTAACTTCTTGTGATCTGCCTGGAGCATTGTGGATTTTTTGTTTTTGTAATTTTTTTTCAGTTGCTGTCCCAAGATCTGAACAGCTCTGTATTAGTCTCCTCCAACTTTGAATGTTGGCATTTTAATACTTAAGGCTACAAAGAGGTTTTTATCATTTCCTTTTTTCAATAAACTTGTATACTTATCTCTTGTGAGACCAGTCTATCTCCCAAGGTGGTGGGATGGAGGGAGGGGACATTATACAACCAGGAAGTGGCAATATGGACATTTTACCTTTCATATTTTGAAATTTCAATAGCCAGAAAGGCAGTACAGGTTGTGACAGCCATATCTCTCTCACACCCAACACCATGGAAGGGTGGGTGTCAGGTGAGGTGCCCTTTGAAAAATAGGTGGTGGCAGCAGGAACTACCAAGTTGCTACCACAAAGCAAGAGACAAGGCCATGGTGTGAAAATCCAGAGGGCTTCTGGAAGGAGAGGTTTGAAATCTCCAGCCTTATACTCTCTGAGATCAACCTCATTTAATACCCAAACATCATGAACCAGGCTTTTCCCTCTTTCCCTAGAAGAGCACTGTGAACATCCACATCAGTCACGTTTGCTATAATGACCAACAATCTGTATACTACAACTGAAATAAAAATCATTAACTATATTTCTATTATGTTTCAGATCTTTGGTATAATGTATATAACAAATTATTACACCATATGATCTTTATATAAAACATTGTATTTGTTCTAGCAAGGCACCATACCTCTAAACATTCATGCAAGTCCCTGACATAGGCCTTCTCGGTCTGAAGCAATTCAGCCATGATGAACCTAGAAGGAGAAATGCTTTCGCATAAATATATAGAGTAAACACACACACACAAACACAATAGTTCAATCTTGCCTATCTCGTAGTTGTGCAGATACCATTTCTGAGAGAGAATGATAAAGACTGCCTTAAGCCTTCTGAGGAAAAGATAGGCTGTAAGTATAATATATAAATATATGAATAAAATGTAAAAAAAAGTGACAATATGTATTTATCTGTCTGTATAGAATGATGGATACTAAATATTTCTGCAATATAATTGCACTGATATTTTCTCCCTTACTGACAGTCTTTAATAGATTACTATTTTCTTTCAATGTTCCAGAACTCTATTTAGAGCATATTGGAGTGTGAATACATTTGAAGTTGTTGTGTAATATAGTTATATTGACATTACTATGTAACTTGCATAATACTTGCATAACATTTCAGAGACTGTAAAATTTCTGGAATCCAGAAGAAATAGCAGTGTTGTTAATCTTACTGTAGTAATACAATTTGTGCTTTTTAACTTGATAAATTAAAAAAAAAAGTTTCACACCGATAAACATACAAAGTACAAATGAGAATACAGTTTCTAACATTATATTCTGTCACGCTGCATTTTGGTATAATGCTTTTTTATACTTCCTTGCCAACAGCATCGCCATTTTTTTAAACCATTAAATGAATAAAGGCATGGAGTACAGCATGGAGCAATTCACTTGCTGATCATCTGAAAACTGAGGATCAAACTGAACAAGAAACAACTAAGCTAGTTACCAATGAATAATCCCTCAGAATACTGAGATTTCATCAATAACAAGCATCGATGTTCCATAATAGCAATTGCTACATGCTTGCAAATATATTTGTTTCAAACACATCTGCAACAAAATACGAGAGTAACATGCCATTATCCAAAACAAAATAGATATGCCCTTTTCTGAAATACAATAACAACAATAACAACAACAACATAATAGTAATAATAATCTGGATTGGATTTATCCCAGACTCTCTGTCTCCATATGATTACATATTGTTTTTTTATCTCTGTTATGGCCATTTGCCAGAATAACATTCAGTACAAATGTACAGAACATGATATCCTAGCTGCCTCACATCTGGGTGAGCTTGCTGACATGCTGAGAAGAAGCGATTGCTTTTTGCAAATTAATATATTACAGAGGCACCTGATTCTCACCACTTACTCTTTTTTTCTGGCTGACTTTCTCTTTTCTTCATTGGCTTCATGACTGGCATCACGTAGCCTCACTTCACGATCCGACAGACTTGCTGGAATGATGTCCAACTCCAGGTCTTTATTATCCTGAAAAATGTAGTGACTTGGATCTTTAATAAACTGTCACACTTTGTTTAAAAAAATGCAAAAATGTACCCACAAAGTGAAAGAGATGAAAGGAAAGCAATAGTACTGGAAGAAAACACTTCACAGAAGAAAAAGGTCAAATGCACCACTATACTTAGGAATAATTAGCTAAAAGCATATCAGAACTGACAAGCATTAGTTGACAAAAGTTTCTGATGAGCTTCCCCCCCCCCCATAATGTGTGTCTTCTTAAAGACAATTAGAGTACAGAAAAGAATATTTCCTCTTTGCTGAAACATATAAAGCCAGTGATGGGGGTTGGGGTGGGGACTTTAGTTTTTGTTCTCTCTTCCAAAATATTGATCCTAAGAGCTGCACTTTGATCTTCTCAACAGTAGAAATAAACATACCCTATTTAAGTTTGTTAAAATGAGGTACAAAGCATATACTTAGTCCTTCTCAATTCAGTGATTTACTAACAAACCCCAGTCAAAACACTGAGTACCTCTCTTTTGACAATTGCTCCTTTCTACAGCAGCTTCCTGTTCCATATTCCTGTTATCAGCTACTTCCTCCCCCAATCCTTGGAAGCAAATTTGGGGGAGTAAAAGAAGCTCTAGCAGGACAGGGGAGGCTTCTGGAAACAAGAATCATACACACACAAACTTGATTAATTAGTCTCTAAGTTAATTTTCATGGTGAAGCCACAATGATTTTTCAAACCTCTCTTGTTAGGTTAAAAACCGTTTTCAGTCATTTTTTTTCTTACAGCTTACATATTTATGGGATTATTGCTTGCTGGGTACAGCAGAATGTCCAAATTGCGTCACACGGCATGTTAACCATTTTATTCCCTGAAGCCAAGTCAAGCATGTATGTGCAGCTAGAGGCTTAGACTGAAAAGGGAGTCTGAAGGCTGTAGCACTTCTCAGATTTATGAGTGGACTATTACTTGGTCATCAGATGGCATTCAACTTTGGGAGCAGTTTAACTACCAACCAAACCACCTTCCTACTATCTGTTCTTGCAGTTAGTCAAATGTTGTGTTTTAAAATGTACTTTGGAAGATTTCCATGCTGCACCAAAGCAAAACAGGACAGGGAGTCTGGGAAAGCAATCCCACATATGACAAATACTTTTAATTCCTCCAGGAGTTTTTCTTAATAAAGATATGTCAGAAAAACATACAACTTACAGTACCTCTGTATTGATCCCAAGAGCTTTTTCCAAAGTGTAGCGGTACTTTCCCATTCTCAGTGAAAAATCCCGATAGCACTTGTCAACAGTGGTAACCCACTTCCTAATTTCGGTGGCATGTGTATGTCCTTTCTCTACAAAACTATCAGCCAGCTGAATGAGAAGCTTCACTTTCTCCTTGGTTTGCTGTTTGAAAGAGTTGTTCTTGGTTATCACATCTTTCATGGACATTGTGTTCCATTTTAATTCACAAAGTAACCATATGGACCTCGTGTTTTTCACAAATGCTACTAACATAAAATGTTCTTAAAATCTTGGGAGACAGAGTGTAGGTGGGATGCAGCCTTTTCATCTAAAATGTTTTTAAATCTGTACATTCTACGTCAGACGTAAGTGTGCAAAGTAAGAATAAAATAGATCCTGTGGGTTTAATTTCACAGTATTTTTGGCATTAGCAGTGCCACATGATGAGAGGCACATGATTTTTGCCTAATCACTCTGCCTACAACCACTTCCAGGCTGTTCCAAAAGGTCTTTCCAACCCTCAGGAATGGTTTCCAGGAAAGAGGGGCAGGGGGATGGAATGGACAAAAATCAAATGTTCTACCTTGTGCGACTGGAAAGGCTTTAAATTAGCACAAAGCTGTTACTGAACACAGCTGCGTATTATCCAGCATTGTCAGCTACCTGGAATGTAGCTCTTAGTGGTTAAAAAAAAAACAACTTTTATTTTCAAAAAGAATTCTTTTCCACTGGTATTTGTGCCCACTCAATGGAATAACCTCTGTAACTAAGAATCCATGACAAAATGGTCTGATTCTGAGATAATCTTTTGAAAATGATAAGGTAGAGCCCTTGGTATTCTCTGAGCTTGGTTGTTTTCTTGCAGACATTTTGTTATCCGACTAGGTAATATCTTCAGCATACACTGAAGATGTTACCTAATCGGGCAACAAAATATCTGCAAGAAAACAACCAAGCTCAGAGAACACCAAGGACTCCACAGTTCAACCCTGAGTTACGTATATTCTCTTCTATTGGTAATGATAAGGTAAGCAGAAAATAACAGCTCCTTACAGGTTGTATGTATTAACTTATTTCTACTAGACAATGCTGAATGGGAATTCAGATAACCAGGCCTGGGGATTGATAAATAAGCACAGTCATCTTCTCACAAGGCAACATGCAACATATAAAATGAATAACTGACATGAAAAACTTTCCAAAAATGACATGATGATTACATTATTTTTGATGGATATAAAAACAGGTCCGGTGTACTCTTGAAGGTATTGGACTAAGACTGGGGAGACACAGCCTCAAGTTGACTTTCAGCCATGGAAATTCACCAGATGACTTTAGGCCAATCACCCTCTGTCGGCCTAGCTCTAACAAATTATATATTGGATGGAACAGGGCTGGCTGGGAAATTGTGAAGCATGATTGCAAAAATGGGCAAAGTTGGAATTTAAAGAAGAGATTCTATCTTATAGCAGTTACATATATTGCTATAGAAAGGACTATGAAACTAGTTCTCCTAATTATTTGTTTGTTTATCTGTTAATGCTTATATTCCACCTCTTCTCTAAGAGCTCAAGGTGGCTTACATGGAGATTTTATCCCCATGACAACAACTCTTGAAACAGGCTGGGATGAGAGAGTATGACTAGTCTAAAGATACACAGAGTTTCCATGGCTAAGGATGGACTTGAACCCAGGTCTGTAGTTAACACTACAGACGCTAACTACAATACTACACCACATTTAACCACTATATCACATTTATCTTAAGGAGACCTTAAACTTGTTTTCCTAAAAAAAAAAAAAAAAGCCCTTGCTTCCCCATATCAGCCGATAAATTGCTGTTTAGAACTGAAGAGAACTGCCGTATGGTGTTGAGTTAGATATCAAAGGCATACCATCAAGAACTCTGCTGGGCTAGCCTCCACTGGGCTACATAGGTCTTTGGATATTAGACCAAGTGTCTAAAATAATGTGGATTGTGTCTGAATTCTGAGAACCATAAAATATTTATATTTATGAGTAGTATAACATTCATATCATCAGATAATACTATAATATAAATGAAACTAAGTCCCATGAGTTATTTCATGTATAAATGAATATCCCACCCTCTTTAGACTGTACATAAGATTTGCTTTATCATAAATAGTAAAAGGCATTAAACTCTTTTTTTCATGCATGCAAATTCATGGTATGATTTATTATGCTGATGAAACAATCCCCTCCCCCACACTTTGGCCAGCTGTCTCAGCAGCCCATTCCACAATCAAACATATATTTATTGATTTCTTAATGATAAAACTTCATATTGTTTATAAATTATAAATACAGTTCACCTTGGCAGGTACTTTGAATTCTCCATATTCTTTCAAAAGTTCCTGTGTTTCATCTGCTGATTCTCCAGTGGAGTTGTGAGTAGAGAGATAATATTCTCCTGTTTCCTGAATCCAATCCAAGGCCTACGGATGGGGGGGAAATACATAAGAAACAAATAACCTTGTGGTGCCATAAGACTAACACATTTTATTAACATATAGCCCATTATCCTGAATAGAGTACTAAATTTCTGTGTTACTAATGTTCAGCGATATATTTCAAAATACCTGAAAATACTAGCACAATTAAGGAGCAACATTAGCCTTAAGGAAAAGAAGTAAGAAAATGTGTTCTGCTCTATAAAGGATACCATTGTCTGCTTTGGACAATAGCTCAGTCAATTAATGTGAGAGAGCTGACTGAAGAAAAAATAATTTCAGCACCATGGCCAGTACTATAGATGCCAGAGAAAGACTTTGGTCTACTTGTAGGACCATGGAGAGCAATCTTACAGTACAGTAGAATTCTCCCACCCCAAAAGCACTGATTCATTGTAAATGAAAAGGTTTTATAGACAAAGTAGAAAAATGTTCCTGAAGGGTCCACCAGTGCTACTCATATTTGCCTGCTGCTTTTCCCCAGTAACTCACTGGTTACTTTCCCCCTTAGCTCACTGGGGCTCCTCTTCCATTATTATGTCCTGGTTATGAAGGTCCATTTGGTTCTCCTGCCACAATAGTGGAGTGAGTTGCCATTTTCCTCTTCAGTGGCCTGTATCTAGTCTGATCCCTCTTCTTTAACCTGCCTGTCATGAATGACCCTTATGAGAGGGAACTGTGCCTATGGTAAAGCTCAAAACATCACTGGGATGCCCAAACCCCTTCACATTACAAGGTAATGATCTATGAAAAAGTCTTTGCTCACAAGAAGATTGCAAAGACCACCACCAGTCAAAGGGAAGCATATTTCACGCGGGCTGCATGGATAGGATACAGGGTCCTATTATTCTAGAACCAGGTTGCAGCATAAGGAATTAATTCTAATGCTTCTTGGAATTGCTGTTGCCTAGAACAGTCTTTGAGGGCTTACTCCCTAACAGAAGGATATGAAGCACTCCAAATACAGATTTTTATAGAAAGCAGACTGTACCACAGTATGGACTCATTGTTCATAGCCTTGAATTTTGGAAAATCACAGAATTCTGCAAAATTAAACAGAATGTATTTCTGATGTGATTGCTGTGCTATTTAGTCTATGCTGGCTCCCTGCTAGCCTGTATGAGTGCTAGGTTCAGGAGAAAACTGTGTAATTAACAAGGACTAACAGTGTACTTTTCTGGATCACTTTGTGAAATTTCATTAGCACGCCAATATATAATCTAGGAATGTTTTCAAGTTGCAGGACAAAGATCACTGGAATGCATATGCATAGGAAAGGGTATGCTAGACTTCTTACCACATTATTTCATTCTTTCTTTCTTCATGGGATGAAACTAACAGGGCTTCAGCTATAAAATACAGTGCAGAGGTGGCAGGCTCTTCCATGGAATGTACATTATTAAATGAAAAGGTTGGTCTTTGGTTCAGAATCTATTAGCCTTAAAACTTACTCAGATTAATGGCCAGTTGGGTTCAGTTTCAAAATCTGATCTGTCTTGAACTTTTCCATCTTTACTGTTAGCAAGGACTGGACATAGGACTTGAAATATAAGGAGGACACATCACAGATAGATTCTCCCCACAGGCAATCTATTAAACTGCCTCACATTCACTGTCATCCCCGGTCAATGTAGAGAAGCTCAGCATTTTGTCAAGTTACCTGCTTTGCACTGCGCTCAAAGACTACATACTGCTGGCACTGATCCAGTCGCCTTTTCTTCAAAGTCCAGAAGTGAAGAACACGATTTTCCCTTTGCAGCAGCTCACTCAGAATGGCTATGGGGGGAAAAGGAGAAGAGCTTTTTCCTTAGGTGGTTTGGTAAGTACAGCCAGAAGAAACTCATTACCTATCCCACCTTGTACTTCATCCTAGGAATATAAGTTCCCTAGAGTGAAGCACTTCAGATCAGACTTAAAAAAAAAACAAAAAACAGCAAAGCAAGGACAGTTATTAACACAAGCAGCTCAGTTAGTTTTTGTGGACGTCAGTGAACTCTAAAATTTTGTAAGACCAGAATACTTTCACTAGAAGAGAACACTTCAGCCTGTGCTTTTCAAAGCTAAGCAAAAGATTAAACACACACACACACACACGCACACACACACACATACACACCCCAAACAAACCTCAAGCTATGTAGGCAGTAAGACTTTAGGCATCCAGCTACTCTATGTAACATAAACAAATCAGAAGAAATATATTCCATGTCTTCTTAGTGTACCTTTACTTTAAATATTTCTACCATTCTTCATTAAATTTAGCAGTTTCATTAAATCACATTTATTTGGGGATACTGCTTTACTGGTATCTGTGAAATAACAATCTAAAAATGCATCCGATGGCATTATAATTCCCTGAAATTTCCACTAGAAACAATCCTATTTCTTTAAATATATATTAGATCATTATTGTCATCCTCCTCCTCCTCCTCCTCCTCATCATCATCATCAATTCAAATGTCATAATGTGATGGAAGATTTACAAAGATTCTTTCAGTTCATGGCCATGAATGAATAATACATCTCTACAGTAAGGATTGTAACATTAGTTACTGAAGCGTAGTGCAAGTTTATCCCAAGATCATTTGGTGGATGATAGAGAAAAGCCATCTGATCTTCTCCATTTTGTTAATTAATATGAATCAAAATTTATCAAGAAAAAAATCTATGCAAGCTTTAATATAACAAATTAATTCTGGTCTGTGACTGTAATAAAATATTCATTGATTGAACATAACAAATTCTGTGGGGTTTGTACAAGACAGCATTGCTAGCAGATTGTGACCTGTCTCTTCTTAAGTATTTCAAAGGCCTCACATCTATTAATGACTTCAGAAAAATTATTTAATTCAAAATGGGAACATGGCAGCTACCCCAAATGTATGTCTAATGTTAAACTATATGTACATGTTTCCATATAATATAATAAAAGCTTTTCTTGCTGTTCCTATTTTTTTAAGTATCTGTTTGATTGATATGAGTAATTGTTATTTTTTCCACAGACGTGCATGACAAGAATGTACATTGCTAGTATTGCTGAAAAACTCAGCAAACAAAGAAATATTTAGGTGTGTTAATTTTACATTTTCAACCTTTTAAATGCTAATAAGTATACAAATGTTTGGAACACTCATTCCTAAAGTACATAATGATTACTGCAGTACCATGACCTGCCCTTTATTTGTATAGCTTTAAAAGTAATCCCATCAGAAATGAAAAATGTCTTCATTCTGCATTTTTACTTTGCCTCATTGTTCTCAGCTTTTCACAGAATCAAACAACAGATTAGCAATTCTTGGATGATGGCTATCAAAAAAAGCAATGGAAGCATCACCCTGACTCTCACAAAGAAGAATCATCACCATAGCCCAGATGTGCAGAAGGCAGAAACCATATTGGTCTTTGTAGCTAAATAGCTTAAAATGAGACGGGTGGTGGTAGAGAAGGGCTCTGAATTCTGAGAAAAGTGATCATATCATCAATTTCAATGTTGGCTCTTCTTAGAAGATGGTCAGCTGGCATGGAAGCCCCCTACCCCAGTTACTGAAATGGAGGGCATTAGTGAACCTATCTTCAATAAAAGAAAACTCTGTTCTTTGCAGCACTTTCTAACTTAAAGAATAAGCTATATTGTATTTCTTCTCTCACTCTCTTTCAAGGCTTCATTAGAGCTACAAGTTGCTGTTGCCAAAGCTGATTTGTAACCATAATGGGGTGCTTTCTTTTCTACAGCTGCCTAGAAACTGGAAGGAATCTATACATCCCTCAGCAGAACAAATGGGTTATTGTTCTCTTCCTAATCTCTAGCAATGACTACTAGGGGCATCATATAATTCAAGAGTGGCAAAATGTGCAGTCATTTAAATTAATGGAGAATCCTAAAACTGTTTTTTTTAATAATAATTTAAAAAGCTGAAATGAAAAGTAAATGAGTTTACAGTGCAAGTAGAACATACAGCTAATCACTGAATTGCAAACAGTCTTAAGTCTTCTGTTAGGATTTCCATTTCCTAATTTCTAGAGAACAGGCAGCAGTCATTTCCTCCTAAGGCCTCAGGTCACTGATGGAACTACAGCCATTTAGAGTTTTTTCACTGCTAACAATTGAGATTAAAACAACAACAACAACAACAACAACAACAACAATAATAATAATAATAATATATAGTGGGAAAGGGTATGAGTGAGCACGTATGACTATTTGTCTTTTGGATTTCCTCTCCTTGACTAGGTGATGGAGGGGCAGACTATGCAAAATATCTTCCCCCTATCTGGCTCTCTTCTTAGTCTAAAGTCTTTATCTGAACAGCCTAAACTGACTTGATCCTGCTGAGTTTAGAATACTTACTGTGATGCATAAGGAAGCTTTCTGAAATGATTAACAATGTTCTGAAGGCAGCTTTCTGGTTATACATAAGATTCATAGCTAACAAAGCCTTTTGCTAGAACCCTTGTAAAGAAGGGAATATTATGTTTCTACAGCTTTTTAAGGACTACAGATTTAGTCCTTAAGACCCAGTCTAACAGGATGAATCTCAGACATTCTCATGTTTAAAATACCTCTAGATATAATAATCTAACAGTATGAAGTATTGATTAGATTGCATGGAGTTATTCCTAACTAAACACATTGGTGCAATTCTCTCTCTAGAAAAGAAATGTATACATCAGAACCATTTCCCTGATTTCTGAGCTGGCAAGGAGAGAACAAAATATTTTGCAGTTCCTTGGGACATCTGATCATATTCTGTTTGGTCCACTGTAAAAGATGGCAAGTGCATGCATTCCCGGTTGTATGTAAGAATTGCTTATTCCATTTAACTGATGTAAGAATGCTTTTGAGATGGCCATAAACAGAAGCAGTGAGTGTGTGATATACAATATTTCTAAAAACTAAGATGCCATTCCATTAATGTGAGTCTCAAAGAACACACTGGCCTTTCACTTGCTGTTCAGGTCCCCTGGTATGGCTCACTACTCCTGGCATGCTGACGTTGTTTCGATGAATGTACTTGAGAAACACTTCTGCATTCCTTCGTGCTAGTGTGCAGGCCTGTGGGCAACAAATAACACCCCCCAGCCCCAACACAACAGTTACCATTTTGACAAGCAAGTTGGAAGAATAAAACATTAAGGAAGCTTCTGAACTGTGACTTGAGCTTCTTTTCCCTTTTGACCTCTGAAGGATGTTGATGCGCATGAGAAAACATGAGAGATCTTCAGACTGCAGTCACACACATCCATCATTTTGGGGATGATATGAGAGAAAATATTACATAGAAAAATCGACTGATTTCCAATAAAAGTAACAGCACTAACATCTCAAGGCAAGATGTTAATCTTGATTTTACCCTAGAAGCTGACAGCTGATTTCTTCAGGAATTTGGTCCTTCAAAGTTATACAATTGTCTCATCTGTATGTTTCATTTTAAAAAAAAAGAGTTACAAGTTCCTTTAAAACATGGGTTGAGGCATTACAGGGCACTAAGAAGGAAAGCCTGTCATTTCCTCCATCAAGAATACATATAGCTTAAGACCTGCCTTATCCTAGTCAGACCAATAGTCTACGTAGAACAGTACTGCTTACTGCAGTTGGCATCTTCATGCAATCAAAGGCAAAGATCTTTCCCAGCCCTGACTTCCTATTATACCAGGATTTTATAATTCCATCATCAATGTACAATACACATGCCATTGAGCTACCAACTGCAGGTGCCCTGAGCCAGGGAAATGAGAACTTGGAGAGAGGGATGCGTTGACAAAAGAAAAGGATTTGGTTTGGCTTCTTCAATCTCTCAACATAAGTACATCTTCAAAAACCAGGAGGAGAAGAAAAGCAAGAGGTTTCAATTGCTCCTCTGCTTGGTAGTTTAATCTTGCTATCATGTTAACTACCATCTTAGTTTAATATTTATCAGGGATTATGGAAGTAAACATCCAATAGTTACACCTCCTCCCAAAAGCACTTGGTGGGCATTTGCCCAAAGTTACCTTCCTTCAGGTTTGACTGCTGGCCATTCTCCTTTTTTTAATGCCACAGAGCATGTAAATATATTAGACCTTCACCTTTCCATACTCTGATACTTGTTTTTGCAGAAATGTTATTTTCTTAGAATCAGCCCTGATGATACACCAAAAGTCAATGTATAAGTGTTTTATTTAGGTTAGTGGAATATTCATGTGAGGCACCATCACAGCAGCAAATTTGAAAAGTTACAAGCTAAAGTTTTTTAGTTCAACAGAACTAAAAGAATGAGAGGTTAATGGAAGCAGTCTTTGAAATGTGTAATGTTACTGTAGAAGTTTATATTTATTTTATTAGTACAGATTCTAAGCATGAAGAACCCTCTTTCATGGGTAGCCATGGTTCAGACTATGCAGGCATGAAATCTTTGCAGAGAAGAACATACTTTTGGAATTCATGCACACATTCTTCTGTTTTTATGGCTCTCATTATAAAGTAAGATGAAAGGACTTCTGGGGAAGAAATGGTGAATTGAAGATGGCTCCACTGAGAGTGGAGCTGATGACTGCAGTGGAATGAAGAGCCGGCCAGGGGATTGGCTCTTCAGGATTCCTTTCTGGACAAGGAGAGGACTTGGGATTGCCCACAAGTGCTCCAGAGAGTTGCTGCTCATGAGGAGACTGCAAGACAGTGGTCTCTGATGGGTTTAGAGCTCTGGGAGATGAGGGAATAGCCATCTTGCTCAAACCACAGGCAGTACCTTTATAGATACAGGGTTCACATATTTCCTTTTCTAATCATTTTTGGCAATTACTTATTAAGTGCTTTTCAGCTATTAGGAACCTTTGGAATGACAGGTTTTACAGTACTGGATGAGTCCTTCAATCCTTCACAAAAGAAATTTTAAATACAGGTTTAAAGACTTTAAAATATATATATATATATTTTGGAATAAACAGCAAAAGGGTGATTAGAACATTGATTTTAGAAAGTTACAAATGGACTAAGGATCCAGATGGATTTGAAATAAGATGTTGGAATTATTTATAGGAATCCTTCCCATGGGAAAATGCTGTTGTTTTGAATTCTTAAAAAAAAAAAAAAGATAGTATGGGACTGAAGATTGGACACTAGAGGGAACTAGAAGGAACTAAAGATTACAATTAAAGAAAAAGAACACTTAAATGTGACTTACTAATACAGAATGGAGCAAAATACTTTAACACTGAACTATTGAGGGATATTTGTGAACAAAGTATCCAGAAGTTAATTTTAAGAGTATCTGCCATTATAGACAGACTGTGTTTAAACAAAGTTATGGAAGAGGAACAAGTTTTACCAGACAAGACTGAAACTAATCTGAAAGTGGATTTAAAAATGACAGGCTACAAGAATGGGATGGGAAAAGATGCTACACTGGATATACAGATGAAACCGACTGTTGTTCTAATAATTAAAAGGGATATACAAATAATAAAAAAGCGACCTGGCCAACTTTCCTATATTGGATTTACAAAAGAGACTTGTTAAAGTTTGGAAGAATTTTGT